TGAAGAGAAAGGTAGCTCTAGTCATAACATCTGTTTGGGTAATTATAAATTACATTCTTGATACAGAATTCTATCCCACATAAATTATAAATCTCCTCAAGAGTCAGGTAAACTTGCTCTGTGTTGAGTGACTGACTGCAAATCTGTGTCTTCATCACTTTCCTATTTGTTGAGACTGAGGTGTTTGTGAGAGTAGAGTTATTTACACAGTAGAGTGTGTTTAATCTTTAGATAATTATGCATTGAAAATGAACTCATACCTACTACATTTTTAGTAAAAATATTTAGGAAATGGAAAGGGAGCTGCCGCCTGCCTTGAAGCTCTAGTGGCCCATAGCAATCTGTGGCTGCACCTCTCACAGTTTCCCCTTTTTCTTGTTCTTTAGAGCAATAATGACATTTCATAGCATGAAGATGGAAGAAATCAACAAAATAATCCGGGACCTTTGGCGAAGCACCTACAGAGGACAAGGTATGTAATTTTTTGTGGGTTTGCCCCTAGGTATCCCTTTGATGTTGAGCACTGCGTAATTGTTGGCAATATTGAAACGCCTGGGTCTGAAAATAGTTGGCTCCATTCTAAGGGCTGCATCTGTCAGTCACCACTGTCATCTCCTCTATTACACAGTGCATAGTTAGTTACAGGATAAAGAGAGGTAAATCTCCCTTTGCTGTGTTTTCCAAAGTTAAGGTTCCCTTGAGACAGGGGAACTGCAGGAGTTCATTCCTTCAGTTTTGGAAAAATTGATTTCAAAGACATATCTGTTAGTGGGAGTTCTGAAGAGAGTTGTTGGTCGTTACTGCGTATTATACCTCAGCTCGGCTTAATCCTATGATATTTTTAAAGATTTTTGATCATGTGAAAACTGTCTCCTTTCCATTTTCAGATATTGAATATATAGAAATTCGTTCTGATGCAGATGAGAATGTCTCAGCCTCTGATAAAAGAAGAAGTTACAATTACAGAGTAGTGATGGTAAAGGGAGATACAGCACTGGATATGCGAGGAAGATGTAGTGCTGGGCAAAAGGTAAATAGCGTTATTTAGTACTGGCTCCCTTTCCTCTACAGTAGCTGAAAGGTCTGTGAGGGCACCAGATTTGGATCTCTCTGATGTTGAGGTAGAATTGCCAGTTTCTGAAATAACAAGCTGCCTACTTCTTTACCTCCGGAGTAGCAATTCCCACTCCGTTGCTTACTCCAGCAGAGCTTTGTTGGCAGCCAGGCCTTTTCCACAATCAGATGGTACAGGCAGCAGCAGAAAGTGAAATCAAGGAATGGAACAAAATGCTACACACTATTTTTAAGTGCATGCAGCAGTAGAATCATGAAAGGCTATTTCATGAGGAGATGAATACTATATTGTTGCTTGAATATGAAAAATGTCGTCCTGTGAATTCCCACCTGAACGTAGAGGTGTACTTGGTTTTGAAAATTCCATACAAATTTTGGGGGAAATCCAAATCTTCTAAAACAGCAGTATAGGCAAAAAAATGCATCCTCCTGAAGTAGTCTGGGATGTTACGTTACAGTCCTATGTAAGTGAGACTGAAACTTCTTCACAGTTTCTTAGCTTACATTCTGAGAATTCTTTGATCATGAACTGCACTGCCAGCGGTCGCAATAATTGGAAAGTATTTTTGGCAGCACAGTTTCCATCGAGCATTCTGTCGTTTTCACTCCTTCAGGATATCTAATGGTACTGCCATTAGGCACGTTCGTACAGCGCTGACCTGTAAGGTGGCAAATCCTACTGACTTCAGTTTTAGTGAATAATGCAGAGCTCAGTGACTCAATGTGTACGGATTTCCCCCATCCCTGCTGCGATTTGAACAGTGCGGGGGGTAACGCAGATGACAGTGGCGTAGCATCTTTGCCTTGGCCTGGAATCCTTACCTCCAATATCTCCTGAATTTTGATTATTTGACTCCTCTGATATTTTTCCAATAGTACTTTGTAGAATGAGTCTTTCAATTCAAACTTGAAGTTTAACTATAGTTTTTCAGTAATTAATTAGTTACTGTCATTTCATGAATGGTCAGCACGTTATGTGAACTTCAGGCCTGGTTTGTAGGAAAACAGCATGTTACATGTACTATCAACACTCTGCAGAGTGAGATTTTGATGGTGGTTTGGGTTTTTTTTTTTCCCTTAGGTGCTTGCTTCTCTTATTATTCGTCTTGCTCTGGCCGAAACATTCTGTCTCAACTGCGGCATATTGGCACTGGATGAGCCAACTACCAATCTTGATCGAGAAAACATAGAGTCTCTTGCACACGCGCTGGTGGAGTAAGTGATTTGTGAGGCTTCAAGATGGGTATTTTTCAAATGTTAACAGTAGTTGGCAGAATATTTCAGTCTGGCACGTCTGTGCTGACCTCTGCAAACACACGTGCGAAGCAGTAGCTTTAGATTCCCTGTCCTTTATCTGGAAGAAGACAAATACTTATTAAATATTTATTGAATAATTGGGGGATGGGGGGTTATGTGGGTAAAAAGAGTTGCTAATCAGCATTAGAAGTTCCTGTCAGTCATTGTCAATAGTTAAAAATTCTTGTACTATGTATTTACAGGTTCTCTAAAACTGGGATGGGATTTAGATAAAGATATGCTAAATAATATCTCTTTCTAGGATAATAAAAAGCCGCTCGCAGCAGCATAACTTTCAGCTTCTGGTGATAACTCACGATGAAGATTTTGTTGAACTTCTGGGCCGTTCCGAATACGTGGAAACGTTCTACAGGATAAGAAAGAACATCGACCAGTGCTCCGAGATCATGAAATGCAGCGTCAACTCCCTAGGCTCGTACGTTCCTTAGGAGCTCAAGCGATTGCGTATTCTTGCCCGGCTGAAGGCGTCTGAAGGCGGAGCTCCTGCGTATCATGTGCTACTGAGGATTTGTGACGGTTTTAGCCAGAGTCTGAAACTATTAGACTTTTAAACTTTGTATGTTTCTACGTGTTTCTGTGCCTGGGTTTAGGACTCACCATGATTTGGATGAATTGAAATGAATACAACGTGGTTTGCTTTTAGGTGTCTTTTATGCTTTAAAAGTGAAAATAAAGTTGTGGTGTTCTCTGCGTATGTCCTGGCGAGGAGCTCCGGATGCGGGTTCTTTGGAAGAGCTGCGGCTCTCTGGATAGACAAGGGCTCGCTCTCCGTCGCTGCGTTACTCAGGTTCAGGACCGGTATGTGTGTCTGGTCACGGTGTGTTCGTAGCTACCTTACTCCGCAGGATGCAGAGGGAGCTTTTGCTGCTTTCTCCACAAGGTAACATCGCTCCAGCTGTGCAGAGACAGAATCTGCACAAACTGTAAGTTTCTTTAGAATAAAGGAAAGTCCCGTCTCTGACTAGATGAACGAGTGGCTGACAGAAGCATGTTTTAACCATGTTCTCTTTGCCTAGTGTCATTTACCTCTCTGCTGCCTTAAGATAACATTTGTGGGAGTTATGTCATAGTGTGTTTCTCCGTCAGATACAATCAAGTTCTGTGAAAACGATACAAAATTAATGAGAGTTAATTTATGTGGATGCTGAGCTTCACCTGCACCGCTGGGGTTCTCCCTGCAGCTCTCTTCCTTGGTACAGCAGCACCCAAGGGTCCTACGGAACACAGGCCCAGAGAACCTACCACTGAGAATGGCAACAAAAAGCCAAAAAGGATGACAACGCTTCAAAAGCCCAAGGACCTGATGATCACGAGTCCTGCCGTTTCAGACGAGGGCTCCTCCGCAGCGTGCCTTCCTGCTGCTGAAACCAGGCAAGCCCACGGGGTGCAATTTCTGGGTCTCTTTCTTCATAACCAAGTGAGGGGGCACCTCTTCTACCTTCAAGTACTGGCTACAAGTCCACAAACAGCTGGATTTAGGACTCCAAATCCTTACAGACCCCATGTGGTCGTTCTTCCTTTCAGAGGAAGAATCTTTAAACCAGCGTGAGAAAAAAGCGGATCTCAGTAGCATCAGGACATTTGTCTTTGGCAAATAAGGGAATGGTTGCACACTGCCTTCCTCCTGCTTCAGGGTGGAGGAATCCCCTTCTCCAGGAGGAAGAGCAGTTTCGGGAAGCGTGAGGGAGGAGCGTGGGCAGAGCTGGCAGGTGCAGCCAGGGCCCGTTAAGCACCATGGACAGAGGCAGCCCCGGCCCTGCCTGGCTCTGCTGAGCCCCTCGCCCTAAATCATCCACCCCCCAACACCACCCGCTAACAGCTCTAGGCAACATCTGCACCAAAAAAGGCAGAAGCTACCAGTTCCCTGGGGCTGATGCTTCATCTCCGCGGTCTTCAGCCGCTCCACGGCCAGAGATGGAAGCAGACTTGGCGGTAGGTGCCTTAAAGGGTAATGCCAGAAGCCCAGCACTCGAACCAAGGCTTATTTCCACCTCAGTTTTCTGAAACTGCAAGTCACTAGAGTCAGGGTTCCCCTGTCATTGGGAAATCACTCAAAGATAAGCGAATGAATGGGACTTCCTAGCAATTACGCTCTTTCGCCCGTCCCCTGAACAAGCAATTATAACACCAGACTGGTGGGGGGAAGAGAAGGCAAAGGAAAATGCTACTAACAGGCATTACGTTTGCAGTTTTAAATAAGAAGCTTCACTGACTCTAGTACTACTTCCTGAAGGGGAATTTTCTTAAAGATACAATCAACAGAAAAAAAGAAAAAAAGACTTCTGAATTTTCAAATTTTCCTGTACTACCTATTTATTTTAGCATGACACATACACCCCAGCTCATGAAGGTTTACATTATCTTCAGAAGCAGCTCCCCAACCTTCGTGAATTCTGTGCTTTTTGTTCCCCTCCCTTCCCCCACAAGTCAAACCCATGGTTTGCAATTCCTCTGGGATGTAGTTTGGGCACAGTTTTGCCTAAATTAGACTTTTTGTGTTCCCCAGCTGCAAGGTTTATCCTTGCACACACACTTCAGGGGTTAAGCTTTGTGCCAGAACTTGGGAAAAATGCAGAAAACATGGTGGGAAGTGCCTCTCCTATGTTGTGTCTATCAAAATAACAGAAATTAATCCCAATTATGATTTTTTTCCACCCCTTTCATTTGAATAATCCATAGGCTCCTCTGTAGGTAACAGCGGGGAAGAAAGACTCCACCAGCCCCGTGGAATTGATACGGCCTGGGAAACAAAACAAGCGTGTTCACGTGAATCAAAGGTAGGAGAAACTTCAAACACCTCTGTGGTCGTGTGTTCTGCTTGTGGGCACCTCGGGGACAGGGAGGACAGGAGCGAGCCCCCCGCCGCCACCGGCCGTGGCGCGGGCGCAGTTCAGCCCACAGGAAACAGAGGTGCTGCAGATGGGTGCAGTCAGCCACCCCCGGCACCACGTCAAGGGGATCCCTGCTCCGCCGCGGCTTCCTGCCGAGCCGCAGCTGCCTGCGGTCCTGGCCTTGGCCTCCCCTCCAGCCGTGTCCTGCGGCTGGGGGGTGGCAGGAGGAGCAGGATGGGTGGGGCGGCGGGGTTGTCGCCCTGTTCTGGGTTTAGTTGAGACAATTTGCTTCACGGTAACTGGTACGAGGCTGGGCTTGGGATTTGTGCTGAGAAGAGACTGGTAACACCAGTGTTTTTGGTTGCACGGTAACTGGTACGAGGCTGGGCTTGGGATTTGTGCGGAGAAGAGACTGGTAACACCAGAGTTTTTGGTTGTTGCTGAGGAGTGTTTGAACCAATTCGAGGACTTTTTCAGTTGCTGATACTGCCACTGCATTCCCAACTTTTTTGCTACAAAATCTGGAAGGGGACAGAGTCCTGACAGCTGACCCGAACTGACCAAAGGGGCATTTCATGTTGTAAAACACCATGCTCAGTAGATAAGCTGGGGGTAGGCCGGGGACCAGGTTGGTCGGTTGGCAGTCTCGGTCTCTTGCTCATGGGGCTCACTCGAACTCTACTGCCATCTCTCTCACGCCCTGGCTCTCGCCTGGCTCTCGCTGCTCAGGCTGGTCAGCGGGTTGTGAGCAGTTGTATCATTTGTCTTATTTTCCATTCATTCCATTACATACTACTAGTAGTAGTGGTAGCATTGTTAGTATTATTGGTATCACTATTTCATTCATTTATATTTAGTTATTAAATTGTTCTTATCTCAGCCCACAAGTTTCCTTGTCTTTTAAGGAAAAAACTCCCCACTGGGGAGGGGGGAGCTAAGCGTGTGGCTGGGGGGTGCTCAGTTGCTGGCTGGGGTTAAACCACGACGCCTTTACTGAGATCATAGAATCCCAGAACGGTTTAGGCTGAAGGGACCTTAAAGCCCTCCCAGCCCCACCCCCTGCCATGGGCAGGGACACCTTCCACTAGCCCAGGTTGCTCCAAGCCTCATCCAGCTTGGCCTTGGACACTTCCAGGGATGGGGCATCCACAGCTTCTCTGGGCAACCTGTCCCAGTGCTCCCCACCCTCTCCGGGAAGAATTCCTTCCTGATGTCCTATCTCAATCTCCTTCTTTCCATTTAAACCTGTCACCCCTTGTCCTGTCCCCCCCTGCCCTCGTAAACAGTCCCCCTCCAGCATTTCTAGATAGGTGCTGCTACACCAAGTTCAGCACCGTCTGTAGCGCAGAACGGAGCAGAGGCGTTGGCAGGCCAGCGAGGCACAGATTTACTGTGGTCACTCATCAGGCAGAAGCTGGCTCTCCGCTTGCCGTTCTGGCTGGAGCTGAGGCAGATTTCCAGGAGAGCGGCTCCGCAGCACCGTCCTGCGTGAAGGTACAGCCACAGCCCAACACCGCTCACATGCGCCGTGATCTAAGCACCAAAAATGACAACTGAAAACAATTTTAAATGCTTTCACAGAACCACCAGCGTGCCTGCAGTGGGCTCAGGAGCCAAGAACCAGGCAGCAGCCTGGGACAGTGATGTCACACCCACGCAGGCACCCAGCACCCCTCTGAGAGCATCGGGTGGCACCCCGAGAGGGTCAGGTGGGTGTCAATCCCTTCGCAGGGGTTTGGTCTGACGGCAGCTCAGCCCTGGCGAGTGCTGTTAGAGCTGAATCCACAGCAGATTGAGCTTGCACCGCTCAAAAAAATGATTTCCCTCCCACCTCTGTGCCACATCATTTATTTCTTCAGTAACATAACTCATTTTCGGTTGATCTGCACTTAGTAAGCAAGATGGCAACTACTTTCACTAGAAAAAAAAAAAAAGGCCTTAAAGTCATCCCTGCCTGACCAGTCTTGTTTCTGAGTGGAGTTTATATTAGTGGAAAGGCAATACTTTGGTTTGCTGACGCTTCCTTCGCTGTTACTTACGCGGGGCAGTACTGCGCTGTCTGCTTAGAGAGTGCCGCGGAGACAGTCTCTCAGTCCAAAGCAGTTGGGGCGTTTAAAACTTCAGAGAAGATGAATTTTTAAATTATGCTTTTTGCAACCAAAATGTCCTTCTGACCCACCTGAGGTGAAAAAGTGACTTACAGAACGTGTTAATTGCTACTCCCGGGAGCAACTTTTCCATAAAGTTTCTGCTTCTCTCCTGCGTGCCACGTTCCCAGGCAAAAAGCTTTTGTGTACCCTAAAACTTTAAAAAAAGTCCAAACAGATGTCATTATCTACAAACAAACACCGCAAACCAATAAATATAGATGATGCTTTCAAAAGCTTAATCATTTAATGTCTCCTTGTAGCTCTGTTAGCATTTAAATGTCACACTAACTATCGTTTCCAATCTATTTCAGTATGACGGTTTGTTTACTACCCACCCCCCCCAGCCCGGGGCAAGCTGCCAGGAGCCAGCGCTCCTCCACTTGCTGCAAGATTACACCTTCGGGAAATGTGATGCAATTTGCAAACTCTCTTTCATCTGGCTTCATT